CTCCCAACAGGACAACAAACGAGATCGGGATAAATTACATCTAGCCTTAGAATGAGGATAAGCAACAATACAAAAGCATCAATAGTTTGAGATCACTTGCATTGCAGTCGATGACCTTCTGTTCATTTCGAGGTGCTGCTTGTCTGTGGCATTCCAGTAACATTTGTAGATTTTCTCGGCGCCGTCAAAATTTCTTTAGTCGTGTCGACTCCTCTGATGGATGACATTGGTTCTTCTATAGCTGTGTTCACTGTGGGTGTTGGGGACATTGGAATTTCTGCTGCAGTGGTCACTTTTGGAGTTGGTGGCGTCGAATCTTTGATGGCTGTGCACGCAGGAGATAGCGTCTGATAGGCCGGTGGTCCTGGTCCTGTCCTGGCTCGTGCATCCAGAGGTGACCGTGCTCGCGCAGTTTTTAGACTATCTCTATCCTGGGGCTGTTGAGTGGAACCTGGCAGCCATAGGCTTTGAAGGGATACTGCATCCTTTCTTTTAGAATGAGGAGTTGCCTCTAAATGAGTTGGAGATGATGCGGATTGTTTTTGTTGGTCGTTTGCAGGCTTATGAAGAAACTCGTCTATAATGACCTTTGGCGATTTCTTCTCCTCTGACAGCTCTGACGTCAGCTGTCCGGTTTTGGTTGATGGTGTTTGAGTACGAGCCGTTGCTAGCAGCGATGATGCTGCGGTATCGCTACTAGCATTTTGGGCTAGATTCCAACTATCTTTGTCGACGCCGGTGAGGAGTCTATTTCCAGATGATGATGTTGGCGAAAGGATATCGGTCGGATTCACTGCTGTTCCACGAGAGAGAGCTTTCTGCCCTGGCGATTTCGAGGCTTGGCGAAACTTCACTTCGCTTTGTCTTGATTTGGTCTCGCTTGCAGTTTTTGGCATTTGGTCCTCAACAACCAGTGCACTAGTTGTTGAGCGGGGTGCTGCCGTCGATACGATTGGTGTTCTAGATGGTCCGTGAAGTACCGCGGTGTTGGATGCTTCTATTGCAGTAGGGCATGGTCCATGAAGTATGTCTGCGTTGGCTGGAGTGGCCGATATTTGTCTTTAAGGTTTCTTTGTGACCTGCCGCCGCCCCCTTTTAGGGTGGATTCTGGGTTTCGAGGTTGATTTGGTTCTCGATTCCGAGGCTGAGTTGGTACTGGAAGTCGAGGCGGGGGCTGTTGAAATTACTGAGCCTCTCGACGGCCCGTGAAAACCTGCAGTGCTGCATGCCACCCCTACCGTGGAATCCGATGGTCCATGGAGTGTGTCAGCACGAGCTGGCAGAGTCGGCGTTTCTTTCGAAGGTGTGTTAGAAACCTGCCGCTCCGCCCTCTCAGGACGGGTTCCGTTTCTTGAAGCTGAGTAGGTTCTGCATGTTGAGATACTTTTGAGGTTGAGTGCACTACCCACGAGTACATTGCCGACTGTGGTGTGAAGTAAATGATAACCGTTTGAGAGCTTCTCATGATGGAAGTCATCTGATAGAATCATGTCCCAGAAATAATCATTTCCTAT